TAATGGCATCGGATCGGTATCGGGTATCGACAGATCCACATACACCAAAAAACGGAATCGGTATCGGAGTCAAAAAACCTGAATCGGTGCATCCCTAGTCATGAGGTTTAATTTCTTTATTTCTTGCAGGGTACAAAAACTGCAGAGGAAAACATGACTATCTACTAATACTATCAATCTAAATGTTAACTTGAAACTGTACCATCTGCCAGTAGAGTGACACGTCACAAGGGGATGGAATTTGGACTGGGACCCGTGATGCTGATGTCACAATGTAAACAAACATTTATTATGTTGCATAAACTAAAGCATCACAAACAAAAATTTCAACAGCACAAAGTGGCACAAATGATTGAGACCAGTTTGGTTCAAATCTGAAACATGGGGGGGCAACTTCATGGTGGTGAACTCACCATGTAAATAAACATTTCTATTTCAGAAACTAGAGCAGAACAAATGAACATTTCAATGGCACAAACAGGCACAGACAGATCACAAATAATTGAGGCTAGTTTGGTTAAAATCTGAAACATATGGGAGTTCAACTTCACACAGGTGAGTTACTCCATTTGAGAATTAAGACTTTGCAGACTGTTTACATGCACATAAAGTTAAATAACGCACTAAAAGAAAGGGAAAAACTGGAGAAGCATAATAGGTCCCCTTTAATTCATTTCTAGAGGTTATCACAAATTCAATTCTAACTAGTTAGAATGCAAATTCATATCAGAAATTCAATTGCAACCAGTTGTAATGTGTAGTTCGTGATATCAGACATTCTATTTTAGTTAGTCATGCTGAAAATGTTTTTTTCATTAATTTTAATGAGAGTTGGGATCCAATTTCTGATATCAGGTTATAACATTAGTACTATATATAAAAAATTAAAAGATCTGGTATGATTGAATAGGAAGATATAGTGGGCAAAAGTTGCTCCAAGAATTTTATTTATATATTTTTTTCAGCAAGCCATAACTTGGCAAATATGTTAGACTTTACAGACTATGAAGCAAATCTAGTATGGTCAGTCAGGAGTACGGTGCAAAGTGTCAGCTTATGAAATGGCACCTTTTACTGTAACCAGACCTTCACCCCCAGCCTTAGTTTTTTACGATTATGAAAATATTTGCCCAGGTATTCTGATCCTTATTTCATGGCTTTTGATACCAGCATGCCCTTACCTACCACTGGGGACACCAAGGTCAAGTCCACAGTATTTTTTCTACAACTCCAATAACCACGATCCATTACAGGGCACAACTAGGAAGGGATAACGCTTTCAACCTCTGTATTTAAAAAATCCTGGCTCTGGTTACAAGGCTTCCAGTAGGAAAAAGGGTGGACAGCTCCTAAAGGTTGTATATAGTTGAGTGCAAATCTACAGTGTATGATGCTTCAAATGATTGGCTGAAAATGGGTATTCAACTAAATAAAATAACTGTTAATCAAATCAAATTAAATTTTACTGATCCCAGGGGAAAATTAGGCTATTGAATAAATCATGGACTGGGAGAAGACAAAAGCTACCATTCACGAAGATTAATATAATTCATGCAAGCAGGCATTCATGCAGAAACACCAATAACCAGCAGCATAGGAAGAACCTCCGATCAGTAGATTCCCAGGCATTGATATGACTACTGTGACAGTAATGCATTGTGCCGTCCAGTGAGCGAGACACTGGCAGCTTACAATCGCAGCAGGTTGAAAAATCCTGTGAATTGTACACATTGACACATCAATCGTGGAATTACATGCATGGGCTTATGAGATGTGTAACTGATACTTATGAGATGTGAAACTGACACAGGAAGGCACTGCTCTAATGTTTCCCAGCAAACCAAATAATTCATATATTTAACCAGCTTGTTCTCTGGATGATTAAATTACACACCCCCAATCCCAACCCCCTCAATGTTTCAGCCATGACTGTTACGCCCCATATTTTCCTTGCCCTGTTTTCATTCTATGTTGCAGGTTGCCAGAATACCTGCAATTACTGGGTTACTCTGATCACCTGGAATGGGCCAGACCACACCACATGCATTTTTCCCCTTCTACCTAAGTTTAAGTTAAAATATCTTTGTTTATTGATCTCTTTGCGATTTGAGGTCATAACAATGATGCACCTGCATGTTAGATTCAGGAGAAGGTGAATATCAGAAAAATGGATTTATACCAAGTACATAACATTCCAGTCTTTTGCAGCTCTTCTCCACAAAATCCACTGAATAAACATGGAAAACAGGATACTGTTTAAAACCTACCTTGCAGATAAACATTCATGAGATTTAAATTTAGCCTGGATTACATTCTTGATTAGTAAATAGTTATTCCACGGTGTATAAAGAGAAACATTTCAACAGGGCCAAATAAATGGCTTAATCACAAAATGTTTTTTAAATTTCTCACTTCACATAAACATTTTTTAAACATACACAAACATTTTTTGTCATTCAGTGCCCAAACAAGAGGAAGGTAGTCACAAACACAAGTCTAGACAGTATTTCTGTTCTCGCTTACTATGTTTTCTTTATTCAACAGTACTTAGCTATACAGTGCTATGTAAAACTTTGGGCACCCCTGATAAAAATCACTGTATCAATTTACTGTATAACTTGCTAAACTTTTGAGGCAGCAACTTCATTTAAACAAATTTTATACCTTATGGAAACAGCAACATTTCAGTAGTGAAATATTTTTATTGGACCAACAGAACCAATGTAATGTGCATTTAAACAAAAATAGGCAGGAGCATAAATTTGGGCGCTCCAAAGAAATAATCCCATCAATATTTAGTAGCACCTACCTTTGCTGAAATAACAGCCTGTAGACACCTCCTATAGCCACTGACCTTGAGTCAGTGTCCTTGAATTCTGGGTGGTGGTATTTTGCACCATTCTTCCATACAAAATGCCTCCAGTTCAGTCAGGTTTGATAGCTTCTGAGTGTGGACCGCCTGCTTGAAACCAATCCATACATTTTCAATGACGTTCAGGTCTGGGGACTGGGACGGCCATTGTAGAACATTGTACTTGTGCCTCTGCATGAATTTCTTGGTAGATTTTGAATGGTGCTTTGGAACATTGTCCTGCTGAAACATCCAACCCCGGCTTAAATTCAACTTTGTGACTGACTCTAACATTATTGTCAAAAATCTACTGATACTGGGCGGAATTCTTACGACCCTCAACTATAACAAGGTTTCCAGTACCTGTGCTAGTCTCACAGCCCCATAACATGGTGGACCCTCCACCAGATTTTACAGTGGGCCACAAGATCTTCTCCTGGGATGCTGTGTGTTTGTTTCACCATGCATAGTGCCTCTGGTTATAACCAAATAAGCGCTTTTGCATACCTCATGCGACTCTTGTTGTGGTGAGTACACAGAAAAGGCTTTTTGCACATCACCCTTCCACCAAGCTAGTCACTGTGCAAAGTGCGCTGGACTATGTACAATGCCACCATCAGCAGTCAGATGTTGTTGAAGCTCTCTGGAGGTGGCCTGTGGTTTGTCTGTGACCATTCTAAACAGCCTTCACCGGTGCCTTTCAGATATTTTTCTTGGCCTACCACATCTTTCCTTCACAAGGACTGTTCCTGTGGCCTTCCATCACCTAACTGCATTTCTGATTGTGGAGACAGTCCAAACCATTGTGATAATTTCTTGTACCATTCTCGTAATTCGTAACGACAAATTATCTTAGTTTTTAGGTCAGTAGAGAGTTCTTTAGAGGTTCCCATGTTGTCACTGTCTAAGGGAGAACCAAGGAAATGCACAACTAGCAATTACCTATGTTAAATAACCTTTTTCATGATTGGTGGCATCTGTCTTGCAGTTTAAGGTCTAATGAGCTAATCAAAGCAATTTTGTGCTGCTCTAAAACAAAAATGGCATATTGCTAGGATCTTCTCTTATCAAGACAGAACAAATTACCATGCAACCTCAGAGGGGTGCCCAAACGTTTACATAGCCCTGTATAAACTGCACTAAATGGCAGATATAGGGCTAATTTACTGTAAGTACTACTCAGTTGCACTATTTATTACTCGATATTGCTGCATGTCTTGCTTTGCACCAGTAATCAAATGTTTTGGTAAACACCATTAATGTCGAGTAATTGTTTGTGAGGGCAACTAGCATGGGGGACATTGTTTATAATTCTGGATCATTTTGTATAAGGCCGTACAGTCTGTTCATTTCATGCGACTTAAAATCGATCTGTTTGTGCATTCAGAATGTACTTCCACCTAATCCACAGGAAAAATGCTGACAGATGAGACTGGCATGCTTGGCAGTCTGACCTGGGTAAATTTGAAATGTATAATTTACAAACACAAAGTACAAGTCCAAGATTGTAATAATGTTAAAAAACCACCGACATGGAAATAAGTAATTGTCTGTGTAACTACTCATACTGGCCTTTCCAGCCAAACCTGGAAGAATCTCTCCTTATTAGGCTTACTGTCCAGCCTACTGGCCTTTAAGCAAGACATCAGGTGTCATACTGCTTTTATACAGTTATCATGATTTACCCTAGTAATCTGTAATTACATACATCAAGTACTGGTTGTATGTTGGCCAATAATGGCAATGTTATTTTATAGTCTAAAGAATTATTTTTGGCTCCCAGAGCACAATAACAGATAACACAGTATTCCCATTTGTGTTTCCGGTGATGCCTTTGCATGTAAAAATTAAACAACGACGAGCCATCTTTGGGTGAGCTGTTGGGCTGAACAGATAGATGCACAAAAATGGATATTGTTTAGTTTTGTGCATACCTGCACACAAGTTTTACTTACATTCCATGGGGAGCAGAAAGCTGAAGGGTTTACAATGATGAGCAGAAGCATTGGGGAAAAACAGACACGCAGAAACACCCCAATGGGGGGTGGGGTGGGGTGGGGTGGGGGGGCAATATCACAGGACATTACAGACGGTACATTTAGTCACAAAACCTTTTCAGCCCTACATGGAAATGTAGATAAACTTTTTCTTTTGTTTATGTTAAAGCACTCAAGGAAAATCAAGTGGTGTGCTCATATCTTCCATTGGGTCTGCCTGCATCAAAGAAGCACAAGCTTACCCTTTCTAACTAAAGAATGGGGATAAAATAGCATCCAATTTTACCTGGGGTGGGGGGGGGGGGGGAACTGGCCTACAAAAAAGAATCAGTGCAGCAAGGAAGGACTTGCATGCAGAGAACTAGAAAACAAAATCAGACTAGAGTCTGGATTTTAAATATTTTTTGTCACATTACAAGGCTGTGACAATGAAAGTGTAAAAAGTGCATTTGCAATGACGAAAGTCCAACATGGACTGAAACGTTTGCACCTTTGCACTCTGCACTTTCACATTGTTTCATTATCTGTGTAGCCCTGCAATGTAACAAACCAATGTGTTTAAAATCCAGACTCTAGTCTGAATTCTTCTTCTCTGCATGCGAGTCCTTCCATGCTGCACTGAAACTTCTTCCCTAACTACTGCACCAGAGGAGACAACAAAGGACAGTTTTTAAGGTGCAGCTCAACCCTTGTGAACTACAAAAAAATCAATCACATTTTTGATTGTTTTCTCCAAAGTACCCTGGAGAATATTAACAACCTTGTTGCAGCTACAGCTATTTCCTAGGAAAAGAAATTATGAATGCAATTTTAATGACATTAAGGTTCTCTTCAATATTTAACTGAAAATGTTAGAATATTTAGCAACTGTTGTGATTTTGATACTACAGTAACTTGCACTGTAGCCCTCTAAAACAATGGGTTTGTGATTTTTCTCTAGTGCTTTATTCAGTTCCTCCTTTAACCAGTGTCTATATGGAGTTATCCAGAGTCTGTCCTAGGGTGCTTGAGTTAGTCTGTTTGAGGAGAGAGTCACCCTCCATTTCTTGTTTACCACATCTAAAAAAGAAAGGGGGGAAAGGGTTGGGTCAGTGAACAGCCATAAAAATTAAATAACGTCAAGAAATATGTCGGGTTCATCTTGTTCACAAAAGTCCTTCTCCCTCTTCAGGGATACGACAGCAAAATTCAAGTCACGATTCTAGTTCTGAAAATACAAACAAATTCTTCAAGAATTCATGTTCATGTTGTCCAAATTGAAAGACAGTATAGTAATCCTGTCTCATACTAGAATCCTATAGTACGATTTAAGCTATTTTCTGTCAAGATGGGACAGAATAAGTGCTAATCTAGAATTTAGAACTTTCTCATCCTGCCCGAGTAAATGTTAGTGAGAAAAACCATTGACATGGTTCTCAAAAAGGGACTGAATCGTGACGCACATTTAACATGTGAACACATTTCCTTGTCAACAGATTTCTGACCTGGGAACTGGCCCACTGATTGGTCCGTTTCCTGTCCTGTCACTGGGCTGCTGGTCCAGCTCGGACAATAGCTTCAGTATATTCAGTGCAGCCTGTTTGGGAACAAGTCAGAAGTGTGAGCTACCTAAACAGAGGGTGCTGTACAGAGCAAGTGTGCACATCAGAAGCAGAAGAGGCCAGCACACAGAAAGGTGCACAGGAGACCCACCATGTCATGGCAAGACTCCACATCTTTCCCGATCCCATGGCTGATGAGGGGAGGCTGGGAGGAGCAGTTGATCAGCGACACAAACTCGTTTTTGTTATTCTTGGGAAAATCTTTGTATTCCACCTGCAAAGCCAAAAAAAGGCACCAAAAGCCACAGCTTTTCAGTTCAATTCAAATCACAACATTACATTGTCTCATAGCTTCTGATCACCATTCATTTAACATTGTGATGCCCACGATTTTCATGGACATGGTCATAACATATCACATAAGCGCAGCAAATGACATGTTGTGGTTTGGTTTAAGTTACGACAATAAGCAAAGTAATCTGTACACAAATTCTGAGAAGGTGCCCCACACTGTCAATGAGTCCCACATACCTGCAGGCCCTGCACATTGGCCAGGAAGCCCAACTGCTCTGATGGGCGTGTGAGGGGCCCAGGGGGCAGGTGTGACAGGCTGTTGTTGCTCTTGAGAATGGTCTCTGCGGTTAGAGAGGTGCCAGCATACAACAGCTCATTGGCGATCATGGCAGTGAGGGTGGCCTTGGCAGGGTTAGGCGGCACGCGGCTGTACTCCTTGTTGTGGTGGCCCTGGTTGGCACCAACTGCCTGCGCCACCTCAGGCACCATGGGCAGGATGCCTGCAGGCAGCTGCTGGTGACTCATGTAGGGCAGGCGAAACTCCTCTTCCTTGGTTCCTGGGACACGGGGGAGACAGAGGGCTGAGAATCAGTATGCAAGGCCGCTTGTTGGTCGCTACGTCAAAGAAACTACAAAAGATGGTGGTTTCCGTGCTACCACTGAGGTGAGAAAGGCATGACTAAGTCTGGGAAAAAAAAAAATCTCAACACTTACCCATGCTGCTATCATCCACTGTGTTGGGTTCAAAAAAGGTCACTTTTCGCCCATCTCCTGGTTTTTTGATTGGTGGCTTTAAATATACAGAAAAATAGTACATACATGGCAGCAGAAATAAAGCACCCTATCCAGTTACTTGATCATTATAGGTTATATAGGGTTACAAGCCCTACAATGAATTTAGATAACCTGTGTTTTTCCAGGCAATCAAGTAATAAAACTGAAATTATGCATATCAGCTGAAGATGGTTCCATGATGCCGACCTTTTCGTCTGTTTTGAGGGCTGGTTTAGGGGGCTGAGGCTGAGGCACCCTGAATCCCATCAGTTCCAGCATCTTCTCAGCCGCGTTGCGTTTGGCGATTTTCTTGCTGGGGCCCATGCCCTCGGCACTCTGACCGCAGACTCTCACCTGCACAGAGTGACACGGAAGCATGGAGCAGACGATCGTTCTCTCAGTCTCACTGTGAGTAAATGGCATAACTATCTCGCGCCCCCAGGTGAGACCGCTGGGTGGCACGAACATGTCTCTCACCTGCATGACGAACTCCCTGCGTCGCGGCAGCCCTCTCTCTGTAACCAGGCTGTACTCGGGCTCTTTTTCCTTCTTGGCCTGCTGAATCTGTGCCAGGCGGCTTATGGGGTTCATGCCCTGACCATACTCTGGGCTGGTCTGCAGCTGGACAGGGGGAAGCCAGCACAGCATCAGCCTTAAAGCTCATACCACCCACACACCGCACTAGGGCTGCATGATATTGCAATATGTAAAACTTCCACAACTAATATTTTGCAATATTTACAGAACAGATACAGAACTTATTATCTACCAATAGTGTGTGTCAAATAAGGCGGTGGTGCTGCTGCAAGTTCTGTCAACAGACGCAAAGCAGTGCCGACAAATGCGATGTGATTATGGCGCATGTGGACATTGCGACGACAATGTCAAAATGATACACCGTGCAGCCCAAATAAGGAATCACATTAGGGTAAAATGACATTGGACAAAATTCACATATTTAAAAAATTTTGCAATAAATACTGTGAGATTTATAAAATTTACCCAAAATAAATACAGATGCTCCTCTACTTACGAACGAGTTACGTTCCGAACGACCGTTCGTAACTTGAAATGTTAGTAAACTATGGCCCGCTGTTTTCAGATTCACTCTGCACTGGCTTTAGGCGCTGACCTTGATGATAGACTTGGTTTTCTTCTTAATGCGTGGCTGCAGCTTCTCCATGACGGGCAGCTGGGGCAGTCGGCGCAGCTCCTCCAGCACCGCAGCTGCTGCGCACTTCTTAGCCAACTTCTTACTCTTACCGTCACCTTCGGCAGAAAATTCCCCTACAGTTACCCGAACCACAAAGCTCTTCATGTGCGGGGGGCCTGCCTCCTTTAGCACCTGGGGGGGGGGGGGGGAAAAGGCCCAAAAAAAAAATTTGGGAAGAAAGGGTTAAAAAAAAAAAAAAAAAAAAAAAATTTCATGGCATGATTAACTTAAGCATTTCTTTGTTTTGGACAGCAGGAGGAACATTTCCCACCTCGAAGTTCACTGGCATGTTTCTCTTCAGTGCGATCTCAAACACCTGGCTGATTTCCGATTTATTGAGGTTCTCTTCCGATGTTTCACCATTCACCTGTGATAAAACGAGCTTGCCGTTTATTTTCTTAGCGGAAAATCTACATTCCAAAACAATCACAAGCAAGAAGTGCACTCACCTTACTGACCCCTCAAGAATATTTTACACATTATCGTTTTGAAATTTTTAAAAGTATGATGAATTTACAGGTTCTCTACAGAGCACATTTAAAAACAAACAGGATAACAATTAAAATGCATTTGGACCCTCGTATTTCAAGCCAATGAGCATCTCACCTCTGGTAGCTGCTCTAGCAGGGCCTCCTTCTGCAGCGTCCTCAGGGCCTTAGAGGCCGCATCGTGTTTGGCCGCCTGCCGCGTGCGGCCTTTCCCATGGAACTGCTGGCCTCCGATTGACAGCTCCATGTGGTACAGGACTGGCCCTACTGGTGGGAAGGGGTAGTAGTACCTGTCCCATGGCAGAGGAAACGGCTTATAAAAGCAGATCTTCACACACGGGACAATAATTCTGTAATGCAGCAGCATTACCAACTACGGAAGAGGATTAGGGCCACCATGAAAATATTATTTGAATTCTGACTTTAATCTCAGAATTCTGACTTTTTTCCTAAACTCAGAATTCTGAGATTAAAGTCAGAATTCAAACAATATTTTCATGGTGGCCCTAATCCTCTTCCGTAACTAACATTTACATTGAACTTGCGTCTTGGTTTCTGCATTTTATTACTGGCTCACAAACTTTAAACTTCTATATTTAGCAAGCATGCACACTTTACACTGTTGTGTCTTTTTTGAACATATGGTTTAAACAATCAAGGTCTCTGACTGCAAACATATCCAAACTTTGACTAATGGAGCCTCTTGAAAAGACCATCATTGAAGTCAGACGTGGGTTTTACCTGCCACACTGTATTAAAAAAAAACACATACAATTTGCTAGCTGCTCTTCACAATAAAATTCTACACATACAACAAGGCCTTATCAAAAGACTTTGAACCTGCATACACATTTACAAAAAATGCCATGTTTGGATCATCTGGCTTAGGCCAGACTCAGGCAGTTCTTACCGTGGATAAGGAGTTGGTGTCCTGATGGTATAATTGAAACTGGGTCTCATTCCAGGGTATGGGTCAATGGGCTTATAGATGGGTTTCTTTCCCAGTTTCATACAAAGTGCATTAAGCTCCACAGTGTGTGTTATGCTGTCTGTAAATTAATGCAGAAAAATATATATTTCCACACGATTACTACTCAGACCAAAACACAAATTTATAATTACTAATAGTCTATCAATAATGTATTGTTTTCAAGTCTGGTTATTCACATACATATTAACTGAACTCTGCTCTGATACACACAAACTATGGGTGGAGAAATTATAAATCAGTAACTGTGCAATAGATTTTCATTCTCAATTTTTTGCTTAAGTTATTCTGGTGCCAGAAATGAATCAAACTACTTTGCCATTCAGTGTTATCCTAAGGTACACATTTGCTGCCTTATGAAACCTTAGCCTAGAATATCCAGTAATCAACACTAAACTTTCAAATGATGTTCCTTGTGTTCTTCTGTTAAGTGGGTCCCCATGTTACTAACGGTAAAGTTCAGAAATGGAAAAAAAAATGCTTTTCTTGACAAATACTTTGTCGCTACATCCATTTTCCTTCTGAATAATACGTATCTCATAGCAAGAGGCCAAGCCTTCTTCATCCACTCGCACAGGCTGTGTTGCAGAGGGACCTCATCTTCAAATACTGGTTATCTAATGATGCAAGTATACCCCAGCCAAACAGCGTTTCATTTCTTTGACAGACCACCCACTCATTGTGTAGGCTGTCTACCACTTGTGCCTTTCAACAATTTTGATCCTAAAATTATTTATGCATGAAATCAACTTATTTGCCGCTTCTGGATATTTCCTACATACAACTGATCCCCCCCTTTTGTCCTTGCTGTGGTCACTGGCCTGTGGAATACCCCCCATATTTAACCAGCTGAAAAAGTTCTTCTAGTGTACCTGAAAAGTCCTTCTCCATTTATATTTGTTATAATAGTACATTTATTTATTTATTTATTTATTATTATTGCCCACCACCCCTCTTCTGAGGACAACTTTATTTTACATTAAATTCAAGAGTAAAGAGTGCGGCCGCTCCGAACTCACCCGTCCTAGTACCGTGATTATAAAAAATAAAACTTAAAAAAGGGGGGGGGGGGTAAAGAAACAACAAGCGTAACAATAACAGACATTAATCATCACGGGGAGAGAAAAAAAAAGGAAAAAAGAAAACAAAGGTATACAGAAATAATAATAATAATAATAATAATTTTCTCCATCCCACCTACATTAAGTATAGGGGAATACAGAATACAAGGACATCAAACAACAAACATTATAACAACAACAATATCAACAATAATAATAATATCACAAATAGGTATTATATATATGTAGCATACACACACGTGATCCTACCGATATATACATGCATATTTCAATTCCTATATCTATAACATGCGCTAAATAGTAATAATAATAATGATACTGATCGCTCAACCTCGTATGCGCCCATTCTTGTATGTGCAAGTGTAGCTGTGAACTGATTTGTCATTGGATGTGTTGGCATTTGATGCCATCAGGGGACGTGACAGTGCCCCCCACCGCGGCGACCCGGCACGTCCCCCCCCCCAACACTGCAGGATGATCTAAGGGGGGCCCATACAGACAAAGAGCCCCCCCCCACCTGGGAGCGGACCCGCGGCGACCGGGGAACGGCAGACCCCCCGCCCAGCCCAAACCAAACCCCCCAATCCACCTAGCAGGGCCCAGAGCATCCCAAGATTCCCCGGACCGCCCGCCAGGGCCCCACCACGGCGCAGCAGAGCCAAGGACCACCCGGCCCGACGCCCAAGAGAGGAGGCCGCACACACCGGCCAGGGCCGCCAGCATCCCCCTATGATGGATCTTCTACCCGGCTGGCCACCCCACCAGCGCAGGGCCAGAGACAGAGAGTTAGGGGGGGGGCCCTCAGCCCCCATCCCCTCCCAGACCCATGTTGGTGTGAAGTGTGCATGTATATGTGTGAGAGAGTTGTGTGTTTATGTCTACAATGCATTAAAATTAGTGGGTGCAGTTCGGGTATGAGGGCCCCACCACTGGCAGATGGCAGAGTCCCCCATCCCCCTCCCCACACCCCCAAGGCCCTAATGTAATATGGACTGTGTATATGACTAAGGTGCAAAAAGTGGGCGAGCAGTTGAGGCATGGGCACCCCACCGCTGGCAGACGGCAGAGCCCCACCTGCCTCAACCCACCTCCTCAGCCCTAGTGTCATGTGGTGTCTAACATGCAAGTAAAAATTGCGGGGCAGTGTCTCGGCGCACCTCCCCACCGCCCCTCAAGGCCCTAGTGTTGTGTGAAATGTGGTGTTGGGCCCAGGGGAGCAATAAGGGCGTGCCAGGAGTGGGCCCCCCCCCGGCACCGGGACCAGATCCCCGACTGGCCCCGACCAGGGTGTTCAGGGGCGCCACAGGCAGCCCGGCAGCAGGGAACCCCCCCCAGGCGCAGACCGGGAGAGACCCACCCCACCACACCCGATGAGACCCCAGCTAGCAGCCAAGGACGGGACAAGCCCAGGCCCCCTGGCAAACGGGGAGCCGGTCCGGCCAGGCGGGGTGACCCCCGCCCCCCGGCCACCCAGGGCCCCCCCCACAGCGAGACAGAGGCTCCCCCTACCATCCCCCCAACCACCCCACAGTGCCCGAGGGCCCCACGCTGGAATCGCCAATGGCAGACACCAACCCGCCCCCACCAGGCAACGGGCCCGGGCAGACCAGGCCCCCCCCGCATGCGGGCGACCACCCACCCGGGAGTTATAATAGTAAATTTAATAATTTGCCTGCTGGTGCTGATACTATGCTGGAGTTACTTGGATGGTTCTCTCCTTGTTTTAAACCATAATGAAGCAGAGTGCTCATTTTACCGAGTCACTACTTGCACTTGTGCCTTCATGGGGCACCTAAGCTCACACAGACAAGATTGGATGTTTTAATAGCTGTATGTCTAATTTTATACTACGTTAATCATTTCATTCCTACCTGTTTAGCAGGCTAGCTAGCTATAGTCAAAGGCAAAGTCTTGCTTACTGAATATCTTAGTACTTAAATTTTCTGACTTTTATACCCTTATTGTATTCTATTTTCTTTCTGCTTTAAATGTAATGTCCTTCCAGATTGGGAAGGTTTTTGTCTAGCTAGCGAACAATTTAATGTCAGCAATGCATTAGGCCACAACAGTTTTGAAAATAGCTAAAGCTAGTATTGTCGCTTGCATTAGACTTACAGATCCGGCTCACTTTCACACTCCCACATTTATCTCAGACAACGGGTGGTTTAGTGCACAGCAACTCTTGTTAAAAGCAAGAGCCAATTAAAAATCTTCCAAAGGGAACTGACATTTTTAGAGATATTTTATCTAATTTGGATAAGGGAATCTTGGGGTCCAAGGGCCTAAAACATCTGGTAGTCCCTGAGGGAAAATATAGTTTGCTTGTTTGATAGTTCCAAGTACTCAACTATTTATTTTGAATATGTGCATACAGATTGTCAAAATGGATACATGTTGGGACTGGTACACACAGTACAGTGCACCGACTTCTAACATGAAAAAACATATAATAAATTAAGCTAAAAAGTACGAAAAACATTGCATTTAAGTCTTTAAGCTAATCAAAATAGTATAAGAAACCAAAAGTCATAGTCTTCCATACATTGCTAGCCCAACCTGCTCTGTTTTCATTCGTATCACTATAATTCTATACGTTTTGTCAGGGTGGGTGGTCTTGGTGCTCTGGGATGAGGAAGACTGTCTGAATACAGACTTTTCTCAGCCCGGCCCTGCACATAGCCTACCATCAGCAGGAGGCAGCTGACATTTCAGACAATTAATCAACTCTTTAGACATTTTTCTACATGATTCTGGAGTTTCTCTTTTATTATTTTCATTACCATTTATCAATTATAGAATACACTGTATTTTCCCATGGTAACTATCATACGATGTGCAGCGTGCACTAGGTAGGGTAGCCGGACGTACATTTATTTTCACATACATTTACTTATTTATTTTTTATTTTGGTCATATATGTGAGTGGTCATAAGTCACATAGTTCACAAATTGTTGCCAGTCTTTACCGTGACAGCCATGTAAAAATAACAACTCCTTTGCAATTTCAACAGCTATTCTAAAAATTTAATTCAATTTCATTCAAAAATTCATTAACCAGTGTTGTCAGCACACTTTAAAATTGCGAAGTTTCTCTAAGACTCATAAGCCACATAATATGAAAGGTGGGTATTCTGCAGTTCTGACAAGTTCCAGGTTAGGAGTTAAATATCAAATATCTAGTGAGCACGAGAGATGCGAGATATATGATGAACATTTGAGAACACCTGTAAGCATCCCTCTGCAGGGACCATACCTGGATTCTTGCCTGTATTGCGGGGGCTGCGCATGGTGGGCTTGGGAAGTGTGGTTTGGGACAGAGCGGCAGCAGCAGCAGAATGTTGGGCCTTCTTGATACTTGTTCCCTCAGCTTCCCAGTGCTGCTCCCCCAACGTTAACCTCACTGAAAAAATCTTAATGAACAGGAAGCGGGGAGTGGGGGGCTGAGATGAGCTAAAAAGCTTCATATTTTCGAACGGCATTCCTATTGAAGCCATTCTCTTGTTCACTGTAGATGAACTGCTCAAAGAACAGGTTGAGCTCTTAAAAGAGAAAATGGTGCTTGGCTGAAATTTTTAAGTTGAACACAATAACAATGCAGGAATTGTGAAAAGTGCATCTTTTTGTGATTACCTTGGCATGAGCTGGTCCCTGTTCACTAAGGAGTTTGTATTCTGGCTGGATCTTGTTGAAACGGGCTAACTCATTCACCAGACACATGGGGGTCTTCTCTTTAGGGTTTGCCATGTTGGGTGCTGAAACTGAACAGTTTGCAATTGTAGGATAATTACTGGCAAGGACTGACATAGCTGGTACGCAAGTTCGCATTCGCCATGTAAAGGTTAAAATGTGTGGTAACCTTTATTATGCAAATGGTTAATTGGGTACCTGATTACAAGCCAACAACTATTCAGAATTCCAAATAGTTTTTGCAGAAGTCCCAATAGGTAATCTGCCTTTCAACCCTTTAACTGGATGCTTCTTCTGGACCGACTTCATTGGACTACATTGTTCCTTTTGACGGCTTGGCCTGTGGCAATTAACTAGTTTGCATTATACACAACACAAAACAGCTCAGGTAGTGTCCAATAATTTGATATTTATATTCTTTGGTCATCAGTCATCAACTAAAGAGGTAAATAAAATTAAATAAGGTCAGCGATAGTTGTAACGTATTGATTCTTATTGAAGAAAGAAAAAAAAAAACACTAATTTAGTATGCCAAAATTTATATTAACATAATCAAAGTAACGTATATAAAAGACCGATCTTCAAATCCATCCATTTGCTATGTCATGTGTATTCCCAAACCATCATTTTAAAAATAAAAACTGACAAATACAAAATTAACATGAACATTGTTATGCAGATTCATGTCTACTTTCCAGCTAAAGCAGAGTTAAAAACCCCTTTTATTCCTATATATATATATAGAGGAAACTATGTACAAATTCTCAGTACCACAGTTAATTTCTGCTAATGCGCTCTATTTTGACAGCCCCTATTTATTTATAGGATCAATTAGGAACATACACTCAGTGGCCACTTTATTAAGCACACCTGCGAGTTGAGACAAACACCCTGCTCCTCAAAACAGCAAATCATGTGGCTGCAATTAATACAACAAGCATGCAGACACAGTTACTTTGTGGCTAAGCATTAGAATGGTCAACATGTATGATCTAAGTGATTTTAAGCATGATATGATTATTAGTGCCAGGTTATGTCCAAGAACCCTTACCTAGAGTTTATAGGACATGGCACGATAAACAAAAACATCCAGCCAATGGCAGTTCTGCTTACGAAAACATCTTGTTTGTGAGAGATGTCAAATGAGAATTACCGGCCTCATTCAGGCTAACACTGTAATTGCTCAGCACAACAGTGGTATGCAGAAAGGCATCTTCCAAAGCACATGTCAACCCTTGAAGTGGCTCTGGAGACGAAACGAGGTCCTACCTAGTATCACGTAGGGGTACCAAATAAAGAGACAACTGAGTGTATACCGATAGTTCTTAAAGTAGGTTTTAGCAAGCAATTCACTTGCAAAAACGGAATTCATGTAGCTAATAGTGTGAGACACAACTGAACAGAAAGATGCTGATATTTGATAAGGCTGTTATTGCTACTTTAATATATTGCCAGCTAATGACCTTTCAAAACAGACCACAAAGTATGACAATAAATGCAAGCGGCAGCTACACCTATAGCTGGTATGGTCTTCAAATTCATTCATACTCTAGCAGGTGTATTTTTTATTTTATTTTTTTGCAAAATAAAGGGTGTCCTCTCACCATGAATCAAAACTCATCTTATGGTACGAGTAACTAGCCAGCTGGCAGTTAACACGGACGCACACGCTCGTACCTGCAGGTGCATTGAAAGGAGTGACTGAGGCAGACGGCAGGGCAGAGCTCCGCAGGGGGTGGCTAGCACTCTCAGAGGGCAGGGTCCCAGAGGCACAGGGAATACTGAAGCCAGGCTGGGGCTGGGAAAGCGGCATGGACACAGTGCTGGGCAGGGGACTGCTGAGAGCTGGCTGGAACTGGACCTGCGACATGTTGAGTGGCTGGCAGCTGCCGATCTTGATCCTTGGGTGGGAGAGCTTCGAGGAGCAGAAGTAGAGGGCGTCAGTGTAAGGTAGGTATGAAGAGAGGCTGCAAAGCTTTTCCTGAAGAGGGAAATGATTGAAAGTTATCATTGACCAGTCTTGTTAACGTCATTCATCTTTTAAGGATTGCATATTTTTGGCATACAAGAATACCAATTAATTATTTTACAGTCAGAGCCAATGCTTTAATTCAAACGGGCTAAGAAGATACAATAAATATTACTGTAGGATAATTAATATCATGTAAATTATAAATCTAGAGTCCGAATTTCCATGTCAGTGAACAATTTCATACTGGTGTGTGTGTATATAATTTTTATCATCATCAACAACAACAATAATAATGATTATTATAATTATAAAAAAAAAAACACTGGCTAGGAATATTGCATATAAATTGTCGACATGCTATGCACTGGCGATATTTCTTATAACGAGACCAACTGAACGTCGGGACGTATTAAAGCCAAATAATTATATGGAAAAAAGATGCGGTATTAAAGGCTTTTAAAAAAAACATTGTAACCAACATAAACCAACTCAGAAATGACTTCGTTTGCACGTCTGCGGCCTAGAAGATTCCGTAAATCCCACAGTCGCCAAGCTGCCTGGCAAACTTTCTTTCGCCGGTTGACATCGCGCTCTGGAAAAATCAAGCGTGAATCCTAATGTTACTACAATAGATTAAGAAGGTGCTATGAAGCAACCTATTTCTGCGCCATGTTCCTAGCGGCTATCAATGCTGGAAAACGGGACCTACAGACCTGTCAGGGCGAATTATACCCACTAAGCAGGGGGACGAGGCGAAGGATGCGAACAGTCAGGGGGACACGGTGACATTCGGAAAGCTTAAAAGCCACCGCTTTCACAATAATACACGGCTCGGTCGCATTTAGTCACCCTCCGGTAACAGGCTAAGCGGTTTAGCCGGTGGAAACAAACTGCAGCACCAAGGACTCGGGTCCTAATGTCTCCTGGTGATTTTCATGTTATGAACTGATTTAAAAAGGGAAAAAAACAGTCTGAGACAATAACACCCTCCACAAATATTACCCAAACGAGCTCGCTAACGGGCTGTCATGGGGAAACATTAGCTGGCTGGTCAACGGGTGCATGTTGCAACACCGGTTATTTTTCTTATGTAGCACACATTTCCCCCCCAGATGACAGCCCGATTTAGTACTCCAACAAAATGTAACGCTTCATATTGCGGAATTGTAGACAGCTGCACACGAAAATCTGAATCACTATAGTGCATAATACGACATCGGACGACTTGCAAGCTTTAGCTGCCCGTACAAAGGCGCCCGAATGAGTCTCACCTTTTATCCTGTCCGTCCGGGCTTTAATTACTCCATGGGCTACAGTGCTTTGAGGTATTTGTGTTTGGTTTCACCGCAGTTACACAGCGCTCCCCTTGTTGTTTGACATAAAGTGTTTGAGAAGTGGTGGTGAGAGGAGGGGGAAAGGCAGACAAGGCAAACACTAAAGAGAATGGCTCAGGTTCAGCTGTCCCTCTCCCGGAAATGACGCCACCGGCCACGGGAAGCCAACCCTCGGTGCAGGGACTCTGGCTGCCTACCGATCGCTTATTGCAGCGGACCTATGCGCTTGCAGTCATGTGCAGCTGGTTGCTCTTTGAATCTGTGTTGCTCGTATTTAACATGTAAGCACATCAGTGGCGCCCTGGACTGATGCGTTGTAACCGAATGCATAACTAAGGATATCAGTGCCCAGCAATCGCACTGATCCGATTCAGTTTGGTTACCCCCACATTGTTCTAATCATTTGATTCTAGTTAGTAATTTTGAGACTCCATTAGTTACAAAGTGGAACATGTTCAGCACATAGTGTAGTTTTTGTACTAGGAACTGAAAATCCCAATCGAAAATGTTTTAAGGGACACGGAAATAATGAGAATTACCCTAAGATCTATAAATGTCAAGTCAAAGGAGTCACAAAACGTCACACCAAATTTCATACAAGTGCTGTTCTTTATTAGCAGAAACATGGACAATACAGAGACAAGACTACATCCAAGCAGCCTGAACGCAACAGAGAAAAGGGGAGGGGGCTCCCCTAGCAAACAAGTACTACACAGTAGAAGCAACCAAGAATAGAACAAATGTAAATGGCAAAAAGCCCAAACCTGCTTCATTAGTTTTGCAGACCGGTGTGCAGACCAGATTTATGCTAGGGGACTTTCAGTACTGCAAAGGTATATCACTCCTTCGATAATGGCATTGTTGCTTCACAGGAGGAACTGATTAGATGTTTTGATATTGAGACTGACAAGTGGCTTGATGCACAAATCCACTTAAAAGCATGAAACCTCACTAAGCTCTGCTGTGTGATGTAGCAACCCTGTCCGCACAATAAATCAAACCAGCTGCATCAAGGAAGCATGCCAACCACTTGAAGGCACCTCCCATGCCCATCAACATTTTTAGTTGCTTTCACTTTTGATGCAATATACCTGCACAATTAAAAACCTCTTTAAAAAGCTCCAGTCCAGATGAAACGTGTTGAACCAGATTTGACATTTTTGCTTTGTAATTTTTCAGTCTGACAGATGCTGGTAAAGTCAACCATTCAACTGTGTCCTGTCTAGTCCCAGTCCATTTTCCAAATGGATCTCTTTAGGACATACACTTCTGTCCATCACTCTGGGCCCCATTACACCAGCTGCACACTGGCGGCTTGCAGATAACCCTGGAGGAACTGGAGGGCCTCTGCGTTGAGACTGGTGCTTAGCATGGAGGGAACCTGCCAAGGGACATGTGGGAGAGCAAATAGTTTGGTAGCATTCTACTTGAATATTTGGCATCTCAAATACCATAGAGAGGAGCTAGTCACTCACCCTTCCAGGGCAAGCAGTAGACAGTTTGTGTAGAGACTGGGCTAGCAGAATCTTGGGGTTGCTAACAGCATCTCCAATAGGGTCATGCTCTTTCTTTCCAGCAAATGCTAGTTGGGAAAAGGCAGTTTGGTACCCAGGAGTGTCCTCAATGTCAATGAAGTGCTCATCATCAGGGATGCTGTCATCTTCTGGCAGCTCAAACAAACCAATCAGAGCCTGCAGGAGCGGCGACCTGCAGAACCAGAAGCATAATAAAACTGATAATAATGAAAAATAAAAATAATAAACCTTAACCCACAAATAGACTTCTTCCTCACCAAAGTTTGGTGTATTCCGTGTCCATCATAGCTGGACATTCGGTTAGAATTTTGGTGATGCCAACTGCACAGATTTTCTTCTCCACCTGACCAGAGATCTTCTGCACATCTGGAATTACAATCTTCTCTAGCACCATGCCAAACATCCTGAAAAACACCCAGGGTTGATAATTAGTTACTCAGATACAAACCACCACACCTCTAAATGATTAAGCATTTAATTAAAGCAAATCTTTCCATGAAAGCTTTCATTAGAGCTTTTTCTCTTAACGAGCAGAGACTTACTTTGGCTGGATGTTGTCAAATATCTCTTGCAACGCAATTGCTCCATACTTGACACAGTATAGATTGATGAAAACCAAAAAACCTGTTAAAAAGCAAGACATTAACTGTACAGGAAGGCATTCAAGTCCCGTTCCAAACAAATACTTTATATCTACCTTCAACCAGCAGGAATACTGCAATTTTTAATCCCGACTTGACTTAAGCTTTACAATTACCCTGTATTCTTATGTTTACCTTAAGATAATCAGCTCAAGTAGACTACAATGGTTAAGAAAGATATGCTGTTGCCGGGCATGTCATACAGCAGTCACATTCCGTACATTCTAGACTGTTCTAAAGCCAGAACTTGCTACCCCCTGCCCTGGACTCACTCTTGATGAACTTGGTGGTTTTCGAACTCTGCAGCCTTTGAAACAGCAGGATAAAGATTTGTTTCCTGTACTGAGTGATAGACTCCCTGAAAGGCAGGACAGGTTTAATTAAGACTCCGCAATCAAAACTTAAAATCGGTTCCTACAATACATACCAAAGCATCAAATATAAAAGGCTGCTCACTAACACTGACAATAGAGACTGGATTATACATGGGTAAATATCTGAATGTCCTCACTTACGGAGGCATGTGCTCGATGATGCTGTTCAACAAGTAGAAACCCTGGTGATCATTGGCCTTCGAAGCAATAAGCTTCTGGAACACTCCAAGCAAACCCGGCTGCGAGAGAGGTTGGAGGAGCCAAATTAAAACTTCAGACATCCATTTCGAAATCGTTAAGATTCAGCATGAACGCTACAATCTAGAGAAAAGGTACAGCAGCAGTCAAAAGTTTGGACACACCAATACAAGTGTGATAGTGTTGCATCACATGACCTAGCCCCCAGACCTAATATAGTACAGATGGTTTGGAGGAGTCTGACCAGGGAGTGAAGAAAAAGTGGCCAACTTGTGCTCAGCATGTGTGTGGGAACTCCTTCAGGACCACTGGAGAAGCACCCTGAGAGGGCAACTCATGGAACTGATGTAGAGCAGACAGTAGGGTCAGCCTGGCCCTGGAGCAATTGGGGTTAGGGGCCTTAATCAAGAGTCTAACGGTGGGATCATTCTGCCAACCATGGGACTTGAACCCGCAACCTTCCGAGGCCTAAGCCACAGAGCTCCCCCCCCCCAAACATTTTTTGTTTAATACTGTTTTGGTCAGTGCATAATTCCGTACAGGTTATTTTATAGTTCTGATGCTTAATTCTAAAATGTAGATAATTGTACAAATAAACTAATTTGTGCAAATCAAAACTTGACTGGCACTGTATTTCAGGCAGCAATGCTGCACAGATTGGATACATGTGTGCTGCTTAGAAGCCCAGGGTTACTCACAATCTTGTCAGCGGCTGAGGTGGCGATAGTGGAACCCCCTTTCTGCAGGTAGGCCTGGAGCAGGCGCACCAGTGGGGGAATGTTGCCGGTGCGCTCCCAAAGCACAGGCTGTAGTAGGTGGGGGAACAGCGCCATGTAGGAGGGGGGAATAGTGTCGGAATGGATCTCCAACAGCAGAGACATTACCTGGAACACGTATGGCACGAATTCTGGAACCACAAGAAAAGGGCAGGAGTTAGTTATTTAAATGGACAAAAAATTGCACATCTTCAACTCCAATGTGTGTCTTAGATCTATTGGAGCTACTGTCCAAGGAATGCGAGACACCCAGTCACTAAGATACTGCTGATGATACCTTGTGCATGCCAGAAGTTACTGATGACGGGAGAAATACAATTCTAGTTAAATTAAGAGCAAAAACATTTTGGAATTTTTAAGATGCGACTTCTGCTCATCCACAGAGGATGGGGGCTTGTGGAAAATAACACTGGCAGCAGAATCACATACCCTGCACATCATTCTGCAAGATCTCAGTGAAAACTGGAAAGAGTGCTTCTTCAAAGCTGCCCACTGTAGCAGAGTTAGCCTTGCAGGTGATCCTGATGGACAGGCAAAGGGACTCGAACAGGTAATGGTTAAAGTGTGGCTTGCTGGGATTCTGAAAGAGACAGAGACAACAGGTCAGGTTTTCATGAAGATCTCGAATTTAAAATTTCGTCATGGATCAAACTCAGCCTACCTTACTGACGAGGAGGAGCTTGTGTGTGAGCTGACCAATCAGAGTGGGAATGTATGGCACAATAGCCTCCTGCAGCAAAGAAAAGCTGCGCATAATTGCTGCAAGTAATAAAAATCAAGAGTGAGAGGTCCTGTGTATACGCAGATGCAGCAAGACATACTAAACGATAGCACCAGCAGAGGCAAAACAGAACAGAACAGAACAGAACAGAACAGGCCACCTTTCATGATATATTCATTCTCAGAAGATCCAGGTAATGCCAACGCCTTAAACAAGTTGTTCAGGAGCTGCTCTGTGAAGGGGGCAATCTCAGTCGGGGAGATACTATGGGACCAGGGCAAAGCAAGAGCACAAAAACAAAAATTGATTTAGAAATAGAAAATTATGGGTTTAAAACACTTACAGAGCAGCATCAGCTCTAATTGAGAAACTACAGAGGGAACAGCTTACAAGAACGACGGCTGAACATAGTAACTTAAGCTTAGTTCATACTTCAATTTTAATTATAATCTATGCACGGTCGTGTGTGCAGACTCATGCAATACTACATTTGTCTGTGTACACGGATGGTCGTGACTGGCTCATGTAAATAGCAATGAGATTCCACCAGACCATCAATCAGTTTCTTGCACATGCTCCGTCGACACGTACACACAGACAAAAAGTCCACTAGACCCAAAACCTGGCCTGCATGTGCACAGTCCACGTGAACACACCTGACAAAACTTACATTACTCTCACTGTGCGTGGACCGTAGCAACACAGAAAAGTGAAGAATGGATTGGGCTTCTGGGCAAAGTACACACAGCATGGACGTGTTGGGAGCATTGACAATGCTCAGCAGTGAGCCGTCAGGGTCACTCACAGTGTGGATCGACAATG